AAGAAAGAGCATGTTGCACGATTCTATAAACAACTGCGTAGGTTGCTCGATAGCAGAAAGGAAATACCCGTATGTTTCTTCATAGTAATAGTTTATCCCAAAATGAGAGACAAAACAAAATTATTTATCAACGTAATTCGAATACTTTTTATTGGCAATAGTTTAATATCTTTATTATGAATTTGTAGTATACATATACATAATATATATAATATAGTTAGAATTAAATAAAAAACAATTTGTATATTTATTACAGTATTACAAAAAAAATGTTTTATATCGATAAGTTACTAGCACAAATACTGAAATAAATCACTATTTAAATACCGGATGTTTAATTTTAAATTCCGGTACGTAACTGATTTTTTGAGCGGCGCTAGGGATGTTTCCCTTCCCGTCTGAGCTCAAAATATTGACGTTAACCAACTAATTAACCTTGAACGCCCAATCTTGTACACATTTTGATAGTCGTAAGAATATGATATAAATAATTCTATCTAGGCTTAGAGGTTTGTTTTAATAGTAAATTTATATTTCAAAAATTCGCAATTCATAATCCAAATTTCATTCTCCTTCGACGAGCCTTATTTTGTCAGTATTAAGAATATTTTCTGGTTTTATGGATAAAGAAATATGTCCCCATTTTGGACTATTGTAACCCAATATATGAATGCCACGTAGGCTAACAAAGGGTAAATCTCGTGCATGGAATACAGGACCTCCACTATCACCATAACCAGTTTCCATCGAATTTGCAACGATCAGATTCTCGTAAATCTCGTCAGCATTTAAAAAAAAACCATCGAACGATTTTATGTATCCACAAGTAACAAATGTAAATTGGCCAGATTTACATAAATGAGCATTATGGGTCAATATAAGGTCAAAATCACTTATAAACAGCTCACTATGCTCATAAGAATCTGTATTCCTTATTTTTCTTGTCGGTTTGAGATTTCTATTTGTTATTTGAATAAAGCCATAATCAGTTTGGTTTAAATCAAATATTACCATTGGTCCAATTTCATCAGTGGTTTCATTTGATCCCCACGGATTCATATGAAAAATATTTCGCTCAGGAGTTTTATCATCATCACCGATACAATGTCCTGCAGTTACTATATAATCTTGATTAAGGTCATTTGCATCTTTTACCCAAAAACCCGCAGAACAATCAGACTCGTCACCAGTATTGAATATACCATCTCCATTTAATATTTGATGATTTATTTTACCACTTCGTTTTTGATCTCGTCGTTTTCTATGTGGAGGTCGTTTTCCATGTGGAGGTCTTTTTCGTTTTGGATCTTCGAAATAACGTATAGTTACGTTATATGGTTCGATCGCGTCTTTGAACGCTTGATTAGTTTCATCATAATCATGGCTTAGAAATATGACAATATTATTAACATCTCTTTCAATGTACATAAATACTCCAAGTGGCTCATGTGTTCGTGCTTTTTCGATTATTTCCGTTACCAAGTTTTTTAAATGTGTTAGAGAACTTCTTGCTCGTTTAAACGATAGTAAGTCTATATACGGTTGTATCTGAGCTAAATTTAATATAATATCTTTTTTAGTTTCATCTACAATCCTGATAATTACTTTATTCCTATTTACATCTATATAAGATCCTCCAAAACTATCTTCATTTTGATCTAGCAACGGCTTTAAAAGTCCGTCTATCCTGCATAATAGCTTCTCAGTGTTCAATAACGCAGGTACTTGATCTTCACCAACATTCCATAATTTCGCTAGTGGCTCATTCAAAGCATGAGTCATAAAGCATTTTTGTATAAGAAAAAAAAATAACAATTTCATTAACAAATAAAGTTTTCTCATTCTGCAATTACGTTAGTTTATAAAAAAAATAAATAAAGGTAACTGTGAAAGTAAATACTATAATATTAATAATAATGATGGATGAAAGGAGATACTTATAACAGTTTAATTGAATTCTTTCTTGTTTTGATAGTATGGGTAAACGACTTTGAAAGAAATAAAAAAGAGGATAGAGTTACCACACAAAACAAGACTAAGTATGCTATATACTCAAGGTATTTATAGCAAGAATTGCCGTTTTCCACTGTATACAGTACCTAGGGCCTTATTCACGAACTCCATTTTAAAATTGAATACTGTATTACCCATGGGTACTGTGTGAAAAACCGAGTACTATATTTGGGGAATATACCATATTAAAAATAGTAATCAATATAGTTGTACCCCGGGTCTTGTTCAAGAAACAAGTCATATCATATTTATATGCAAAAAGTTTGTCTGATCGGCTAGTGTAAATCAATTGGGGTCTTTGCCTTGAAAATCACCTTCCGACATTTCCGATCGGGTTAATTCGGACAAAACTAAACCCGAGTACCG